GTTAAAAAAGTTTCAAAAATCCAATAGATTTCGTTCCACTTCACAATTGTGTCCCACTTGTTGGTGATTCTTCACATAAAATAAAACATTTATATCTTTATGTTTGAAGCCTGAAATGTGGCAAAAGGTTGAAAAGTTCAAGGGGGCCGAATACTTTCACAAGGCACTGTAAATAGCAACAGGAGAGGACTACGATGTAAATACGATCTCATGGAACCTACAGTATGTCAGCATTATCGGCACTAGGTGCCTCAGAGTGCTCCAAATTATATGAGGCACCATAGCTCCTCCCCAAAAAAGTAAACTTTGAAGTACTATTTACTATTTAGTATTTAGTATACTATCATGATACAAAGTGTCATTCTGAATACATAAGCACAAAACCTAAGGGCCTGATAACATCACACTTACACTTAAAAAATAAATATGATTAATTAAGAAATATTAACAATATCAAATTAAATTCAGTGTTTAATGTTTTTTTTGTATTTTTTAGGTATCCACTTTCTTTTTTGTCTTTGTTCCTTTAAGATCAGTAAATAATAAAATATAGAAGTGAATAAAAAAGTACTATTTGAACACTATTGGTAATTTAGCTATTAAGAAAGAACAATAATTTTTTAATGTTATATTTCACATCTTTAAAGGTGTTGGGTGGGTGGGCTATCAGCCCACCAGAGATAAGCAAAAAGACAGCAGCGCTCACTTCATCCAGGTTTGGAATCAAAATCAGACCCCAGAGGTATCTGATGAACAGATGGAACAGCAATTCTATTCCCCAAACTGCATCTCAAGGCATGGTTGTGGAAGGAATGTGCAGAATTATAAGTACTTACTAAAAAAAAAACTATTATAATTTCTTAAATTAGAACAGTAAAACTAATACTTTATTCCATGCTGTTAAGATTTCTGACTTGTGTCTGCCGGAAACCGCTAACTGCACATTTTCGTGGAACACTCCTAATTTCACACTGCCTGCTTCCTCTTGTGATGTCTTTAATGTTCTCAGAAATTACAAAGAAGCCTGAGTATCCACAGAAACTAGAGTTGATTATTTTCGCCCCAGAGAATTTTTTTCAGTGCATTAAACAATTACCACAGTGTATTTTAATATAATTCTAAATCAAAATATGGCTTTGTGGGGGGAAACACCAGAACACACTGAGCTACAGATTTTGGAAGTTACACTGTGGAAAACTAAAGCAGGGAAGGAAGAGGGGTGATTCACAACTACTGCTAAATGCAAGTCAACAATACTGGGTCACACTTTCCCATTAACCTTTCAGTTCCATGTTTGTTTTTCTGCTATATTTACGTATCAGGTCCTGCTTATAGAAGTGCAAATAAAACATTATATTTGGAGGAGACGCAGAGCTTTGATTTTTGTGTGTACTTCAGCTTACAGAATAGCAATACATTCTAGATTTCCTTTTTCTAGTCCCTTTTCTCCTTTTGGCAATAATGGCATTTCCAGTGTTTATTTTAAATTTGTTATTGCGAACATTACAACTGAGTAATGCTTTACCCTGCAGCCATGTTCTATAAGTGAATTTGCAATCTAAGATGTACTTAAAAAATGGGCAAAAGTTTTGGTTTTCCTATTATCAATATTTCATGCCTCGCCTGCTACTGAGATTCACTGATGCACACTGCAGAAAACACATCTCACTAGAAAAGAGCACATTATTGCATACTCAGAACAGATGGGTGCACACACAATTAAATGAGACATACCATATGTTTAAGTAAGATTCATTATTTGAATCCATTACTACATCTCAGACTCATAAGGACTTTTAAAATCTTTGGCACTGGGGAGAGGTTTTGTGCCTTTGTAGATTGTTTGCTTGAGCTGAGAGGTCTCTTTTCCTAAGAAGATACAGTTCTTCTTCTCCTTTTCCCTTTACACTTTGTCAGTGTGTACCAACTGAATTAATGTCCACCGTGGATTTGCAGCTCCATGAAGAGTGAAGTGTGACTTTAGAAAGCATTATTTCAGTATAGTTACCCTGCTCTAGGGACACAGCGTGCGAAACAACAGCCCCCTTCTGCATCATACTAAAACACTTCTAGTTTTCTTCCTGGTAAAAAAAAAAAAACACCTCACCCATTAAGTCTTACAGAGGGGGCAATCGCATCAAAAGGCCCCAACAACATAGAATCTCATCAGATAAAGGTAGCACATGAATCTGGCACAAACTCCAGCTGCTGAGATTGCGATCTACGCTTGATTTTCTGCAGATCTTGCAAGGGCCTGTCTGTTGACATCAACATTTCACTTACGAGAGCACTACACTGAGACTCTTTGTACAGTCTCTTTGTACAGAGTGGGGAAGGCCTGTGACTGGAGTGCAGTTATGCCAAGTATTCTGCATATAGATGCATGGTGCATATTAATTAGGTGTTTGCAGAGGATTTCTGTAAGTACAGGGATTGCACATACATTTGATAGTCTGTCCACTTTACTTAATGGCAGTGTTGTAGGGAAGCCTGGTGGTCTTAAAATACATTAGTTTTTAAAGTTTTAACACAAATATGGTTACGCGATGATTGTATACGAGAAAGCTCAGGACTATTAGGGCAGCATATTGTATATTTCTCTGTCTCTAAATACAACTAAACTAAATTCCTAGTTGATTTGTTTTATCCTTACAGCAGCTGAGCATTAAACCTTGATATTTTCTTGTTTAAGTACCAGGGAATTTCCTTAGCGTATTGTCACACGCTGATGTAATCTCGTGACAAGAGCAAATCCAGACTTTGAAAACATAGATTCTGCAGGGCAGAAATGGATTTAAAAATAAAAAGGTCACATTCTGTTCAACATTTTCTCTGTCTTACTTTTACACAGAACCTTTCTGTTCTGGTCTGGCCGCCCCAGAAATGAATGATACCTAAAAGGTTTGATTCAATGAAAGATATCGACAGAAACCTTGGTGTACTTACAGTTGACAACGATGTTCACGTATTTAACATCAGGTGTAGATACGTCATTGGTGGCTTTACACTCGTATCTCCCAGCCTGGGACCTTGTTATCCCTGTGATCTCCACAAACTCATCACTCTCAAGTGGCTCAGCTACAGGAAAAAAAGAAGACAAACAGAAGACCTTGAGTCTGGAACGAGCTACCCAGCTGATGTTGTTGAAGCCGACTCCTTTCAAGAACCTTGTACATCTTTTTCACCTTACAGGACACCTGTGTCAGACGATGCAAAAAAAAATCAAAGCTCTCTCCAAACCAGTATTTCCAGAGTTATCAGTGCGGGGCCCCAAACTTCAATGATTACTCATTATACAAGAAAACAGCAGAATGAACAGTAAGAATGAAGAAAATAAATGTCAAAGACTGAAGAAAGAAAATGGATGAATGGTTATTTGGACACATGGCGGGCGGTCGGACAGACTGACAGAAAATAGAACTATGATAAAACTATGCCCTGATGAAAGAGGCCTGAGGAGTGCAAAATGTAACATCTTCTTGAAATTTCACAAAAAAAATATCAGCTTCATTTGTGCTGAGTAAAAAAGGAAAGGTTTCCCCCTTAAGTACTAACACAGTACTAATAACAGCCATAATACTTATATAGAGCTTTTCTGGACCCTCCACTCCACCAACACCAGTGTGTAGCACCACCTGGAGGATTTGACATCAGCCAAAGTGCACCAGTACGCTCACCACACACCAGCTCTCAGTGGGGAGGAGAGCAGAGTGCTGAAGCCAGTTCAGAGATGGGGATAATTAGGAGACCATGGGATTTTTAATGATCACAGAGAGTCAGATCTCATCCAAAGGATAGCACCTTTTTACAGTATAGAGTCGCTATAGTAGGGCATTAGAACCCACACAGACTTCAGGGTGAGTGCTCTCTACTGGTTCCATGAATACCTCTTCCAGCTGCAACCTTAGTTTTTCCCAGGAGGTCTGGCCAGGCTCAGACCTGATCAGCCTCAGTGGGTTGCCAGTTGCAGGGCAATATCACTACTGACATAATATTAATAGAATTTGCAAATCGCAATTTTTTTAAAGATTTGGGCTGGATAAAAGCATATACTGCAAGAGCTCTGGAAAAGCAGCTTGCTTGTTGATCACTAAAAACTTCCACTTTTCATTTTCAGAGTTTTGAAGGAGTCAGTCAAAGAATTCAATCATTTTAGAAGAAAATAATTTCTGCATTTTTGTTTTAAAGGGTTTGGTGATGGCACAACTTCAGAATTAATACTGTTTTTAAGCGAGGAGCAAAGGGGGAAAAAACATTAGTAAATAATAAATGAATCATTGATTGAAGACCGACCTTTTTTCTTTGTCTCCTCTCAGCAACTTTAAGGATTGGAGGTTCTTCAGTTATGGCACTGAATAATAGAGCACCAGAGGAGAAACATATTCATTGTTTCCACCCACACATGTCATTTCTCTCTAACTCTGCCTGTTCCAAGGATGCAGGACTGGGTCAGATCTGTTTTGCTTCAGAGGTGCAGTGAGATCAGGCTCGAGTGCAGTATTGCTGCAGTCCCACTAAGACTCATCAGCTCCTCATGAAGAACAACAGCTGATCTGCCTCACAGTATGTGGCATGAAAGAGTATAATACACAGCGGTCTGGTGCCCTGTAAGCCTCCTCCAGAATTAGCACTTTGTGCTTGCTTATCTTTCAGAACAGAGGTCTTGTCTATTTATTTCCAAGCTTATGAAACATTCAGTCCCACAGGGCATTTTTTAAAGAACAAAAATACCTTTTTATAATAAAGGAAATTCAAACCATATTTCATGTTATTTACTGGTCTCTGTAAGACTAAGACTGACAGACCCCTTTTAGCCTGCACTGAATGGGAAACCCCCTAGCGCCTTTTTGATGGGAGCTGATTATTTGATGATTTGATTATTTAACGGTTTGATCCACTTGAGAGCGAGTTTCTAATGCCACACAGTAAGTTCTCCATGGCAGATTATGACAGACGCCTCAATGCAAGGCAGCACAAAACCAATAGAGGCAAATAAAGCAACCTGAAGTGATATTCTTAAAAAAAGCAAAACAAAACATCAAATTAGAAATAATAATTAAAACAAAGAAGAGAAGGAATTTGATTCAGCCCAACAAATATTCACATGCTGGAAAAAATACAAATAAAAAACGAAGTTCTTCTGTACAGAGTTTTCTTTGTGTATATATCTTTTCATTAATTTAAACAATTACTGTCTTCTCAGCCTTTTGAGCCTACGGTTATCTTTATTTTTAATGTTATATAATTAATCAAATTCATTTCTTAATAACTTAATTATTCTGTGGATTGATTTACCATGACATCTTGGTTAACTTAATTATACATCTTCTTGGTTGTTACACATCTGCAGGCTATATGGCTGAGTTGCAGGCAAATCCGATCCACTGAAAGCCCCTGAGACTGAGCTGTAGATGTAACATGCAATGGTTTCAGTGATGTGGAATGTTTAACGGTGGATCAGGTCAGATTTGGTTGCTATAATCTGAGATTTGTACTGCTTCTTTTCAGGGTCGAAATGAATCAGCCATTTAGCAGCCAGCCTTTGCTATTTTTTTATATTTATTCATGCATGTGGATGCTCAGTACTGCAAGAGAAATTAACATCAAGATCCTGCAGGATGGAAAAATCATGTTAGTACCGTGGCTCTATTGAAATGATCTGAAGTAATAACACCAAAAGGACAAAGACTAGAATTTCATCTTAAACTGTTTTATTGCTGTCTCTTTGGAGATCATTTTCCCAAAGAAAAAGAAAGCGTATGTAATGTCACAGAATAAATCAAATTACTTAAAGATAAATGTTATCTGGCAGTTGGCACTCGATACAACAGTTGGTTATGATTTTACAGATTTGGTATAATAAGTGTAAAACACTTCCACACTGAGTTAAAGAAGGAGTGACTATGTAGCAGTTACAACCAAATTATTTAAAAAGACTTGAAACTGTTCACTGGCATGAGGAATAGTTGAATTTATTGATTTAGAAAGCCACTTTAATCAGGAAACTGAGTTTCAAAGCACTGCTGTACCACAGGATATTTCATTTTCATGACTAAGAATAGACTCTGTACTATTCAGCTTTTAAAGGTTTCAAGATTCCTAATACAAATTCCTAAGAATTTTCTTTCCAGTAATAATTGTTTTAATTATAAATTGTCATCAATAAAACTACATTTCAAGTAACATAAAGCCATTGCTTTCATCCTGTTCACACATTTCTACATCAGTTTAAATAGAAAAAAAAACTTTTTTGTAAAACAGATGTAAAACCCCCTTGGGTTTTAAAAAAAACTGCTCTAATGGACTACAAGTCTTTGAACAGAAAGCACCAATGAAACAATCTGTTCAACAGAAATAATTTGTCTCAATAAACATTTCAGGAAAGTGAAACAGCGAAAAAGGTTAATTAACCTTTCTTCATCGACCAAGTATGTATAAAATACAGCACTAGTTAAACAAATCATTACAAATAACTGCCCCCTTTGCACTTTTGTACAGAACTACAATGTTAGCCAGTGTGCTCTGGCTAAAGTCCAATAAAGATGTCAAATATCCTCCCCTGAAAGGAAACATCACTGCAGTTGAACATCAGCATTTTTGTAGTCTTGCCAATGTATGAATAATTTGCCCAGAATGCTTGACAGGGGTTCTTTGATTAAACAAATAGTATCTGATTTACTAAAGACGCTTAACTGGAATGAAACATGATGAAAATGAGACCACAGGTGGAAAAATATCATTAATTGATCTAAATTTGTCACAAATGGCAGCGCTGGTATAAACATCAAAAGTATGTGTTTCACAGGCATTTTAAATCACACAATTTAAACGATCCTCCATGAAATAAACTGCCAAACAAGACACTGCAATAGCAAGACCTAGGTTAGTTTCAAATGTACTGAAGCATTGTAACACACGAAAGAGACCTTGAAGATGGTATGAAATAATATTCAAGTCTGCATGATCTGAAAATAAAAATAAAATTAAATTCAAGGTTGGGTGAAAAATATTTTTCTTTGCATTTTTTAATAAAGTCTCACAGTCATCAGGGACCTTTCCTTTTGAATAACAAAATAAAGCTCACAGCATTTGACACTCTGTGCTCTCTATGTTAAGCACGCAGTTATTGAAACTCATATCTGGCTCCCTGCTAATGACCTGGCACCTCTACAAGACCCTGAGTGTACTTCTCTTCTCCCAGGAAGGTAAAGAAGAAGCCTTCACAAAGCTTTTTCTGCCTTCGAGCAAGACAGTGGCACGGTGACTTGTAAAATACACCGCCTTCCTAGCATCCATCACACTGATCAATGACAGGGATCAAGAGGAGAAGAGTGTTCTTTTTAAAAAAAAAAAAAGACTCAGGCAACAGTCAAACAGTTCCCCCCTGCAGCTCTCATCCAAGGCTCTTGGTTCATTCAGATAAAGAAAACCAATCTGTTAACCAGAACAGGAAGGGCTGGAGGGCTGCTGAGTGCCTCTGCAGGACATCCTCCAACCACCCTTCAGGCTCTGTCAAACATGTTCAGGATTTTTTTATTGTCTTTTTGAATCCCAACCTATTTATCATGACCTAAACATACAGAGCCTGCAATGAGTGCTCATAAGCAGTGCCAGGTGTACAATCACCTGCAATATGATGAATACTAAAAACCTGGTTAATAATTCCTTAGAGAGGGTCATCTCACCACTCAATACCCATCCTGTACACCTCACTTAAAAGATATACAATTTGTCGATTGTTTCTACGATTAACTTGGAACTTATTGATTTCAATATTTACTTCATACCTTGCGTAATAATTTAGATCACCAAGCATGTAAATTTCATTCAACATTTTGGCTTTGCAAGACACCTTATTTTTAGTGAAATCAACTTCATTTACGCAGTGCAATGTATGCATCCCTTCATCACTTCCTAATTACTGACTTTAAGTAATACTTCGGACACTTCAGACATCTAAAAATGGTCTGTTCTACTAAACCGGTGGTTTAGAATAGAGCAGTTTGACTGTAACAAACAGAAAATTAAAAGCAAAAGTCACATTTGTCAGTGAAGGCAAACATTGTAATCCTTTAAAA